TATGGAATAATGTATTATTGTAATTAAATAAAGATATTTTGTTATAAACAACATAATTTATTTTTTATAGAAAAAGTACTTTTAAAATTCAGTTGCCAAAACAAAAATAAAGATGAGTTATGCCACACATCAAGAAAGGGATAATGTTATGAGACAACTCAAACAACAAAGAGAAAATTGTAGATGTTTTGAATGTGGGACTGCAAATCCTACCTGGGCATCTGTTACTTATGGAATTTTTCTTTGTATTCAATGTGCTGGACTTCATCGTGGATTAGGTGTTCATTTAACATTTGTACGATCAATTGATATGGACGAATGGAAATATTCTGAATTAGAGATTATGAAGCAAGGTGGAAATGCAAAATTTGCAGCATACCTAAAACAAAATGGTGTTGACCTTCATTGTGGATTACAAGAGAAGTACAACTCTCCTTCTGCTAAAAAATATAAAGAAATGATGAAGTCTATTGGTGCACAAGCCAGTTCTCATACACCTCAATTCTCTCATATTCAAAATGAACCACGTCAATATTCTGTACAATCCACAACTGATAATGAAATACTTACTGATGAATGGGAAACTCTTGGTGGTGAAGACGACGACTGCAGTAGAAGAGGAGGTAGAAAAAATGTTAATCAACAAGCAGTGTTTGAAGAGGACAGAGACATTTTTATTGATGAAACCCCTGATCATAATGATGAAGTAATAATCGATAGTGATAGAGTTTCAAGCCATTCTTATTCAGCATACAGCTCTAATCAAAATTCTAAAGAAGAGTCTTATTTAACTAGCGTTACAAATGCATTAGGGATAGAAGAATGTAGCATTGTATAAGAATGTTGAAGTTAAAGATTTCTTTTGATTTAAATCAATACAAAAAATAAATAAAAGAATTATTTCAAAGATCTTTTAATAAAAATTTTTTTTAAATCAAAAAGGAAAGAACTTAGAAACAATAAAAGTTTATGGATAGAGATAAACTCCTTCTAATGCTTTTAACTGAAATAAAAGAAATGAGAAGTGAACTAAACGAACTAAGGGATTATGTTCATTCTAATTTACCAACTGGAAATGTTCCTCGTTATAATTATTCTCAATCATTAAATCTTTCATCTAATCTAAATCTCCAAACTATTGGAGAAAATACTCTTGGACTCCTTCCTGACGTTACTGTTACACCACCAATGTCTCCAAGAAAAACACTAATTACAAAGAAAGTAGAACCAGTAAAAGTTCATCAATTATTCGAAAATAATATAGACTTTTTGCAAAGTGTTGATGGTCCAGCTGAAATACCAACTCAACCAAGACCTGAAAACATAACAAATCAACAACACGAAAGTGTTATTGAAAGAGTATCTCAAAAAATCAACAAAACTATTAAAAGTTGTGTTTATGACTCTTCATTTGACGAGATTAAACCAAGTAAATTCTATGAAAAAACAAAATTATTAAATAATGTTATTATATGTGTTGAAACAACAAATGGTACATTTGGTAGTTTTCATTCAGTAATGCCAAAAGAAATTATGCAAGATATGATTAATGGAGATGAGCAATTGATTATCTTTGAGGAATGTTTAAGTGACATTCAAATTTATCGACCTAAATTACCTAAAGAAGCAGTATGTTCATTTTTTGGTGATAGTTCAAAAAATCTTTTTGGAATTTTCTATGGTTATTGGCTGAAAGTAAACAAGACATATATTATTGACTCAATGATTTATGAAAATTACACTAATACTATTAATGCTTTCAAAACTAACTCAGGAGAATTCAAGAGAGTTTCTGTTTGGGTTTGTGAATGACCTTCAAATAAAACCATTTTAATTGAACATTAATTTAAATTAAAGTTGTCCATTTAGAGCAGCATCATCTTGGAAAGTGAATCCAGCAAACTCGTCTCCTTTTAATGCTACATTTTCTGATGGTGTCATTTTTTGAGCATCTTCATTAGTAAATTCTTCATCAATGTTAGATACATCATCAGCTCCAGATACTTTTGGCTTCCATGGAACAGGAACTTTCTTTTGTAAGAGAAGATCCCAATCAATTCCAGCAAACCATTGATGAGCCTTAATCTGATCGTCTTTAATTCTTTGAGTAGGGTCTTTCTTAAGACAACAAGTTATAAAGTCTTGGGCATCAGATGATATTGATGGAAGGAATTCTGGTTCTTTATTTAATATATTTTGATAGGTTTCATTTTGATTACCATCATCATCTGCTGCAAATGGAGTATAACCTGAAAGCATTTCATAAACAACAACACCTAAACTCCACCAATCAACTTCAATACCATACCCTTTTGCAGTAAGGATTTCAGGAGCTAAATAGTCTGGTGTTCCACAAAAAGTAGATGTTTGATCATCTTCACTTGAAAGTTGTTTACTAAGACCAAAGTCAGTTAATTTAATGTTGCCAGAAGCATCTATTAAAATATTTTCTGGTTTAAGGTCACGATAAACAATTCCTAAAGAATGAAGATGTATTAATGCTAAACATAATTCAGAAGTATAAAATTTTGTTTGTTCTTCATTAATACATTCTTCTAAATCTAAACGATGAAACAATTCTCCACCATTAATAAATTCCATAACCATATATAATTTCTCTGGGGTTTGGAAGGCATAATACAATTGAACGATGAATGGATGATTAACATGTTGTAAAATTTTCTTTTCATCATTGGTATGTTTTTGTTGTTTAGTTTTCATTACTTTAGACTTATCAAGAATTTTCATAGCAAAAATCTTTCCATCATCCTTCTTCTTCACTTGAAGTACCTTTCCAAAACTACCTCTTCCAACAACCTTTACTAATGAAAAATCATCAAATCCAATCTTCTTTCCTGTTTGACTGTACAATTGGTCATACTCTTGGGCTAGTAGGTTAATTTATTTTTATAGAACTTCTATTTTGATAAAAGTAAACAAACTAGACATTGTTCAATTGTGGATCTCAGTTCTTCTCTTTTTTTTTTCTCTTTTTTTTTCTTTTTCTCTTCATATCATCCCGTTTTTTTTCATATTTTCAACCTAATCTTTTTCTTTGATTTATTTTTGGAATTATCTAAATGTATTTCCTTGCTTTTTAAATTCTAAGATCTAATATTGAATGTAACTTTTCTATTTAATGTTGTTTTATTTACACGAAACTTATGAAAACGAAAGCGACTCAACATGAAAAAAGTATAACGAAAAATGGCTTTTCTACAGAAATAAAAATTTATGATTGATGTTTTTCAAATTGAGTCATTTGTCTTGTGGCATAATCATTGGATGATTTTTACTCCATGACTGCCCAAAACTCTTATGCATGTCTTTTCCAAATGATGAAGAATATGATCCACCACTCCCTTTCCAACTTGATCCATTCATGCTTTGTGCTTGTTGAACTATTTGTCTTCCATTATATGTTTCGGTTTGATGTTCAGGTCTTCTTTTCTTAGACCGTTCACGTTGTTTTTCATTACGTTTTTTCCTATTTTCAACTTCCTCCCATAAAAGAACTGGAGGAGTCATTGGTTGTAAGGCAAATGGGTTTGCATTTAAGATATTTAAAACAATACCTTTTTCTAGAGCAGCAATAAACACTTGATAATAAACTTGTGTAGTGTATGTTTGATATTTGAATTTAGATGGCATGATTGATGGTGGGCAAACAATTTTTAAAGCATCATCTGCAGACAAAGCACTATCCCCTGGATAATTTCTACAAGGTTCAGGAATATAAGGAGGTTGATAGTTTGGGTGAAGTGGTTTATTCAATAAGAAAGGGTGTTGCATAGCTTGTGTAGGAGTTAGTCGAAGATCAGGATCCCAACATAAAGTTCTTTGCAAGAAATCAAGGTAAGTTTTTCTAGCTAATTTTAGTGTTTGTGGATTTTTAATTACTTTACTTAATCGTTCAGTGAAATTTTCTAAGTCTGTATAATGATGGTATTGTCTATTTGGTTCAAGATGAACATTATTTTCCATTTCATATTCATCACGTGATTTAAAAACCCAACCATTCATTTCTAATTTAAAAAATTTTCTTGTTTTTGTCCCTTGGTCTAAGACTCTTTTTGGTGGCATACCTATCATTTTGATAATTCTCTCGAGTTGATTATATTCAGAACTTCCAGGAAAAATTGGAATCCCAAGAATTAATTCAGCTGCAATACACCCAAATGACCACATATCTATTGCCGTTGTATATTTAATACCTAAGAGGACTTCAGGTGATCGATAATGTCTTGACTGAATATAAGTATATAATGTGCTATTCTCAAAACATGAGGAACCAAAATCAATTAATCTAATATTACTAGTATTATCTACAAGTAAAATATTTTCTGGTTTTAAGTCACAATGAGCAATATTATTTTTATATAATATATCTAAACTCTCAACTAACTGTTTTAATATATTAACAGTTAATCGAAGATTTAATCCATTATATTGTTTTTGTTTAATTAATTCATATAAATTCATTCCAAGTAATTCAGTAACAATACAAACATGATTATAAAAAACAAAATGGTCATACATTCGAAGTGTATGATATTTACAATCAGGATCAAAATGTTCATTTAATAAATGTAATACAGCAATTTCTAACATAGCTTGTCTCATATATGATGCTTTATTTTTTAATACTTTTATAGCTACTTCTTTATTATTTTGTTCATCATGAGCTTTTACAACTTGTCCAAATGCTCCATTGCCCAATAATGAAATAATACGATATCTTGAATTAATTAATTTTCCGGTAGTTTGTCTATAATAATAAACTTCTTTTTTAATTATTTTTATATAAACATAAAGATAGCAAACGTTGGATCAACACCAGTTCCTAATAATTGTTCGGTAGAAAGAATTAAATCATTATTTTCGTTATCTCTGTTCATATTTCCTGTTGGTGTTGAAGGAGAAGTAATTGGTCTACTGAAAAATGAAGTAAAATCCAATTTATCATTACATTTTCTTAATACGTCAATCATATTTACAGTTGATTGCAATACAAATCTTTCATCATTTGATTCTTCATCTTCAATTGACATTTGATCAGATGTATAATACGGAGTAAAATTAACAACATTGAATGGAGAAGTTTGTTTGAAAATAATGAAGTTCTTTCTTCTATGACTCATCCAATAAATAATTAATAGATCTAATAAAATTTCAGTTTTGTTTTTCTTTGATTTTTTTAAAAAAGAGAAAGAAGAACTATAAAACTTATCATGGCAACAAAAGCAGCTTTTACATCAATTAAGACTGTTTTTCCTGGAGAAACATTTGAGTATGTTCAAGGAGCAAGATTTGGTGATGGAATAATAAAACGGAATGGTGTTCCTACAGTTTCCAGAGCAGGAATATTAAAGTACCAACAACAAACGAAGTATTATCATGTATTTAGTGATTTAAAAAAGGTTTGAAAATCAAATTTTATTTAAAAGGGAAAAAACCCTTTAAAAATTCAATAATTTTGATATAATAAAAATAAATTAATAAATTAGTATCATCCATCAGTTGAAGACGTTTGTGTTGGTAAAATAGTTAAACGAGTTAAAGATAAATACCTTGTTGATATTGGTTCTTATTGTTATGCTGAACTTGATTTTCTTGCCTTTGAAAATGCTACAAAAAAGAGTAAACCAAATTTATTAGATGGAGATTATGTTTATTGTCGTGTTGTTTCTAAAGAAAACGTTCCTCAAGTCGTTTGTGTTTCACAAAGAAAAATGGAAGATGGTTTTGGTGAATTACAAGGAGGATGGGCATTCTCCGTACCTCAATCAATGTGTCGTAGAATAATGGGTGATGGATGTTGTGTTTTAACATGTATTGGAGAATATACACCATTTGAAATTGCAGTTGGAATAAATGGAATGGTATGGGTACGAACTCCAAATGTATTAAATGATGTAATAGTAGAAAGTTGTATTGTTCAATGTCTTGGTGTAGTTGAAAAGAATGTTCCTGGAACAATCAAATTAGTTTGGGAAAGCTGGAAACCAGTATTAAATTAAATATTTTAAATTATATTTTTGTTAAAGTTAAATAGAAAATAAATATAAAAATATCTATGCTGTGATGACTGATAAAGGTTCTATACCTAGACAGAAGATAAACATAATTTTCTCTTGACATTGTATTTATTAATTTTAATATATTTAAAATATTTTTATTTAACAATGTCCTCTTTTTATTGTATTTTTTTTCTTTAATATTTATTTCTTTTGTTAAAAAATAAATTATGGTTTTTTATTCTTTTTTAATAAATAAATTTATTAATTTTAATTTATTAAATATTAATAACACTAATTGCTTTTGTTAATTTATTAAATTAATTCTTCTTTGATTTCTCCAAT